GAGCAAAACTCCGTCTCAAAAAAAAAAAAAAAAAGAAGAAAGAAAATTTCAAATGACCTATGTGGCTTGCATTTATGGTGGCGTGGTATTTCTATTGGCTAGTGCTGGTGTAGCCTCCAGCTGCCAAGTCCCTCATGGTTGGGAAGAGACCCAGAGCTGGAGAGTTCAAAAGAACCTCAAGGACCTTGAGTCCTGCCCCTCTCCATGGCAGAAGGAGAAACTGAGGCTGGTGTAGGAGTCTCTCCCTTCACTCACCTGGGCCAGCGACTTCTCCTGCGATGGGCTCAGGTCTGCGATGGGCTGCCCATAAGTGGGTCCAGGCTCCGCTCTGTGGCTCCCTCCAGGTGGCCTGCCTTTTGCCCAGCTGGCAGCCATGCCCACATTTATCACTGCCCAGAAATCCCACTCCTTCCTGTCAGCCTTAGGGCAACTGGTGGGGCTCGTTTCCTTCCTAGGTGCCTCAGGCACGGGGCCCTGGACTCAGCCTGCCCTGGGTTCACATCCTCACTTGCAAAATCAGGACAGCGATGTTTCCTGGGAGCATTGATGTGGGCATGTTGAAATTGACACCACCTGATTTCACGCACATGGGGGTGGCAGTTCATCCTGCCTCTCAATCCCCTACCCTCTACTCCTGTGGTCCCTTAAGACGCCTCCTTGAGCCAGGACAAGTCATCTTTCACCCCCAACAGAGACCCAGAAGTCACTGTCATCATGCCTTCACTTTCATCCCAGGCTTCGTCTACCACCTGACATGTCCAGAGCAACTGCCCATGATTCATCCCAGCTGTTAGGGCACATGGCTTCAGGGTTGAGGATGAGACTTCCCAGGCCCAGACCCAAACAGGTGGATATGCAATCCTGAGCTGGGCCACACCTGGCCTGGGAGCCAGGATGAGAGGTGAGGAGGGACTCCTCATTACATCTGCCCCCACCACCCACTGGACAAGCAGAAAGCCAGAGCCCAAGATGAGGACACATGAGATCACGTGGTGTGCATGGGACCTGGAACACAGTAGGTATTTGTAGTAGTCTGGGTTGCCCTGAGACAAGAAGATCAGTGCAAGTTTATTAGAGATGTGTCCTGAGAAAGACAAGTAGGGAAGTGTGGAAATGACACAGAGAACGGAAGGCAGCTGTATAGGACTGGTTATCAAGGAAGTACAGAAGAACTCAATCTCAGTGGGGACTTCTGGGAGGCAGCAGGGAACGCCCCCCTTCAGCGTTTCCTTGCCTGAGTGGGGAGGGAACTGGGGTATTTATACAGCAACTCGGGACAGTCTTCGGTTGAGGGCTGCTCCAGGGGCTGTCAATTCTGCTGGCACTTCTGGCCTGCTGTGCACACAATTCAGAAGGCTGGAGAGCGTCCTTAGGCAGAGAAACACAGGTTCTGCAGCTAGGGAGTAGTGAGGCTAAGGTGATATAGGCAGGCATCACCAGCTTCACCTCTAATCAGAGACCATTTGCTGGGCTCCATGTCAAGTTCTAGTCCAAAGGCTTCATGTGCTCCTTGAGCCCCAGACTATTCCTCCCTACCTGACAGAGCCTGGAAGAGGGAAGCAGCATGCCTGGGGCCATGCAGCCATGGAGTAAGTGACAATCAGGACTATCTGGACCTGGTGCTTACTCAGGACATTGTATCCCACATGGCTGGCTCCTGGCAGAGGCATGCACATAGGTGGCCTTGCTAAGTCCCAGGAGAGTCCACCTTAGCCCTGGAAGAAGGTAATGAGCAGATCTGCCTCTTCTGCAGGGTGGGGCCTCCCCAGTACCCAACACACCTCAGGCTGGAGCTTGAGCCATGAGGGGTAAAGTCAGGAACTCTCCCCTACTCTCGTCTCCTCCCCTCTGCTCCCAGCACCTCTGGCCCATCTTCTTTGTTTTCTTTTCTTTTTTTTTTTTTTTTGAGACAGAGTCTTCCTGCTCTGTCGCCTAAGCTGGAGAGCAGTGGCTCACTGCAACCTCCTCCTCCCAGGTTCAAGCTATTCTCCTGTCTCAGCCTCCCGAGTAACTGGAATCACAGGCGCATGCCACCACACATGGCTAATTTTTGTACTTTTAGTAGAGACAGGGTTTCACCTTGTTGGCCAGGCTGGTCTTGAACTCCTGACCTCAAGAGATCTGCCCACCTCAGCCTCCCAAAGTGCTGGGATTACAGGAGTGAGCCATTGCACCCAGCCTTGGCCCATCTTCTTCAAGCTGGCTTCTGAATATGTCCCTCCTCTGCTCCAAAGCCTCCCTGGGCTCCTTATTACCCTCAGTAAAAACTGTAAATGCCTTCGCCTAGACTCAAGGCCCTTTTGGGTCCCTCCTGAGCTAATTTCCCCTTCCTTTCTCCCTTATCCCAGGTCCCTTGCCTCCCCTCCATTCTCTTTCCAGCTTTTTCTTCTGCTGTTCCCTCTCCCTGGAATGCCTTTCTTGCAACACCCTTGTATTCAGTCCCTGCCTCCCACAAGGCCTACTTCAAATGCCTTCTCTTTGGCGATGTCCTTTCTGATGTGTTTCTTTTTTTTTTTTTTTTTCTGCTGGGAAGCAAATCCCCAGGCCCCTAAAATCCCACACCGCACTGTCATCTTCCATCCTTCCAGCGATTGTGATCTGTCACAGGTCTCACTCTTGGGCTACTTGAGGGTCTGGTTCATCATGGTATACTCCCAGTCCAGCACCGACTGTGGTGCATTGTACACAGTAGGTGCTCAATAAAAGCTCACCACACCTGTAATCCCAGCACTTTGGGAGGTCAAGGTGGGTGGATCACCTGAGGTCGGGAGTTCAAGACCAGCCTGGCCAAACGGTGAAACCCCATCTCCACCAAAAATACAAAAATTATCCAGGCGTGGTGGTGCACGCCTGCAATCTAAGCTACTTAGGAGGCTGAAGGAGAAGCACTTTAACTCGAGAGGCGGAGGCTGCAGTGAGCCGAGGTCATACCATTGCACTCCAGCCCGAGCAACAGAGCAAGACTTTGTCTAAAAAAAAAAAAAAATTCACCAAAGATAGGCCAGCAATGGAAGCTGGGATGCCCCAGAGCAAGCATCACCCAGGATCCCTGATTCTACCTGTCACTGTCAAAACTACCTGGTTTGTGCCCCATTCCAGTGTCGTACGGGTTTTCACCCAGTGAACTCATTCCAGCACATGCTGCATTGGGTAATGTGCTCCCCTTGCCAGGGAAATGGGGCCCCTGTCAGTCACAAGTAGGCTCTGGAAGGCCCTCTGCCCTCCCTCCTTCTCCCTTCCCTACCTCACTTCCCCCCTGCTTGTCTTCCTTCCCTTCTATTTTTAATCTTGTGTTCCTCTGTCTTTCAACATTTATTAAAAGCCTACTGTGTGCCAGGCACTGGCCTAGCCCTGGAGGCCAATTGTGCCAATGCGTCCTGGTCCCTGTCCTAGAGGAGCCCACTCCAGGGGGCTCGCAAGACGAGCAAATCAACAGTTGCATCCTGAGTGGGCAGAGCCCCGATAGGGAATAACAGGAGGCTGTGGGAGCCCCAGGCCCTATGCTAGGCTGGTGGTTGGGTGTCAGGGAAGAATGCCTGGTGGAGAAGGCGGCAGAGCTTGTTTTGAAAACACAGAACAAAGTTAGGCCTGCAAAGGGAAGGGAGCCTTGCGGTAGACGGAAGAGTATGTGCAAGACCACAGAGGCGGACAGGAACATGGCTTCTCCCCAAGGTGGC